CACCCGACCCTATCTCGAATATCTTCATTCCGGATTCTATCCCTTCTTGTGTGCCCGCAGAACCAACGCAACATACGCATCTCTGGTAAACTTAGTTGTTGGACATGTTGATTTTTGTATGCCAACATTCAGCACCGTATAGCATCGCCGGGCGAATCGCCGTCCTATAAAACTTACCTTTTAGCCTCTGTGGTACCCTCTTCTCACAGAGAACGCCCGAAGCTTGCCGCCATTTCAACCAACCGGCTGCAATTCTATGTCTAACATCAGCATCAATGTCGCCATCCTTTTGTAGCATCAATCCTAAATACCGGAAAGTCTCCTTCTTGGCCACCACTTGCCCGTCAAGGCTAACGTCACCATCATCATGAGAAGCCATGCTGAAAGCGCACGTCATGTACTCGGTCTTCGTCCTACTAAGTGTGAAGCCTTTCGACTCTAACGTGTCCTTCCACAGCTCTAACTTCCTATTTACCCCTGCTCTACTCTCGTCAACTAGCACCACATCATCAGCAAAGAGCATACACCAAGGGATATCACCTTGTATGTCTCTTGTGACCTCATCCATCACCAAGGAAAATAAATAAGGGCTCAATGCTGACCCATGGTGTAGTCCTATTTTAATTGGGAAGTCGCTGGTATCTCCCCCACATGTTCGGACACACGTCATCGCATACTTGTACATATCCTTGATGACGGTAATGTACTTAGATGGGACTTTGTGCTTTTCTAAGGCCCACCACATGACATTCCTCGGTACTCTGTCATAAGCCTTCTCAAGGTCGATAAAGACCATGAGCAAGTCCTTTTTTTGGTCCCTATATCTCTCCGTCAACTGTCGTATTAGGAAAATCGCCTCCATGGTCGACCTTCCAGGCATAAACCCAAATTGGTTTTGGGTCACACTCGTCACTCGTCGTAGGCGATGCTCGATAACCCTCTCCCAGAGCTTCATCGTATGGCTCATCAACTTAATCCCACGGTAATTACCACAGCTTTAAACATCTCCCTTGTTCTTGAAGATCGGTACTAAAGTACTTCTCCTCCATTCATCAGGCATCTTGTTTGACCGAAAAATGAGGTTAAAAAGTTTAGTTAGCCATACTAACGCTCTGGCGCCCAAGCATCTCCACACCTCAATGGGGATACCATCAGGGCCCATTGCTTTACCTCCCTTCATCCTCTTCATAGCCTCTCCGATCTCTGCCTCCCGAATTCTCCTCACCACGCGTCTATTGGTATCCTCAAATGGGTCATCCAACTCCAGGGTAGGACCCTCACTCTCCCCATTAAACAATTTATCGAAGTACTCTCGTCATCTATCCTTGATCTCCCCATCCTTCACCAGTGGCCGATCCGACCCATCCTTAATGCATTTGATTTGGTTGATGTCCCTTGTCTTCCTCTCCCGAATCCTAGCCATCCTATAGATGTCCTCTCCCCCTCCTTCGTGCCTAGGCGCTGATAAAGGTCATCATAGGCCTGACTCTTCGCTACACTCACGGCACGTTTTGCAGCCCTTCTCGCTATTTTATAGCTCTCAATGTTGGTTGCACTCTTGTCAATGTGGAGGCGCTTGAAACACTCCTTCTTCTCCTGAATAGCCCTTTGCACCTCGTCATTCCACCACCAAGTGTCCTTCGCTTCCTGCTTGCCTCCCCTACTCACACCAAGTACTTCTGCAGCCACCTTCCGTACACATGTTGCCATCTTTAGCCACATGTCATCTGCATCTTCTCCTTCTTCCCAAAGTCCCTCACCTAGCATCCTATCCCTAAACGTCTGCGCCGCTTCCCCTTTAAGCTTCCACCACTTCGTTCTCACGGTCTTGGCACATTTGTCCCGGTGGACACGAGTTCGGAATCGAAAATCCGCCACCACCAGCTTATGCTGGGGGACAACACACTCCCCAGGTATCACCTTGCAATCTACGCAAGCATTTCTATCCTCCCTCCTTGTAAGGATAAAGTCGATCTGACTTGAGTGTCGTCCACTATGGAAGGTCACCAGGTGAAATTCCCTCTTCCTAAAGAGGGTGTTAGCTATCAACAAGTCGTAAGCCATCGCAAAATGGAGTATACAATGACGAGCAGAAAATCACGAGCTGATGTATGGACCAGATATGATTACTTGCCTGGACAAATGGTAAGGCAACCTCACTTGGTTTAGATGCTCCCTCATCTGAGAACACATTCCTTAAGCACACACAAAAAAAAAAAGCAGTATTGGAAGATAATAATATCGGTAACATCAAGTTATTTAAATGTCGCATGTTGTTACTTCAATTTAGCTCCATCTTGCCAATAGAGTAAAGAACAGAATCTAATGATTAAATAATCTATTTATTTGTAGTAACACAGAGTAATTTGTTTATGGCAACACGATTATCAATGTGTAGCTGGGGTAAGTTGATGGTTTAACAGTGACATCTAGCCTGGGATTGGTTATATGTCCAGCAAATTCTAAAATTCCTATAGACAACTTTATATATATATGAGAATTCAGGGCCGAGGAGAATGCGAAAATAAAGAAAGGAACACAAATTTCTCCGTGAGAGAAAAATTCCTCCATTCTCCACAATTCTCTACCTAGTGATAACAAAAAACATACTAATATCACTCTTAACTCTAAAAGCGCTTGAAGTGATAAAAGAGCACATGCAACAATTATTACAACCTAAATAACAAATTAGAACTACAATCAACTTGAAACTATAATAAACACTGTAGTAGCACATAAATCCATATACTATCAAAAAGCATTCAAAAGCAAAACTAACATAATATATTCAATAAATGAGAAACTCCAAGTAACATTTTGCGTTCATTACCGCCAAATAACATTTTGCAGTTCGTCCTGATTCCCAATGGCGGTATCATAAGCAACAATATTTCCATAGAATATCTTTTCTAACTCCTTCATCCATTTGGTAAGCAATAAATTTACCTGCAGTTTAAAAGCAATGAAAAGAGTACGGTTACTAACAAACAACAGTATCTGGAAATGCAGCAGCGATGGATGATTTTTCCAACTCTGCAATCAAGAGAACTGTGTGGAAAACTCACCCCAGCCTTAGACACCCTCAGTTCCAGATCATGATTAAATATCTCATATATGTACTGCCCCAACTCAACACCTTCTTTTCCTTCTTCCTTGAGACGATGTAGACAAAGCCACATATGGAGCACAAGCAATGAAAATGTTGATCTGAATGTCGTCTCCAAGCTAAACACTGCACGTGGAATGTGACAAATGCTAAATTCAAAATCACAAAAATGAACACTAAGACAGTGGAACAAATGCGCAGGATATCAGAATTTCTTGCAGCCCAAAAATGAAAATTAGCCTAATCAAAAGCTCAATTTCCTTGGAAAATGTTTGTACCACTGGCCAGTCTTTCTCTAGTCCAGAAGGTTAACACTTTAAAAGGATGTCAAGAAACAAGCCCTCAGTTGAAATGCATTCCATTTACCCATTTATTATTCGGAACCCTCAAAATCAGCAAAAACTGACCGTCATATATAGCCGGTCTATCAACTTGATATGTCACACGGCTGTAAATAGCATTAGCCAAACGGATGTGCTGGCTTTGTTTACTGTAGAATAGCATCAACTTAAGGATTAATCGCTTCATGCCCTCATATTGTGGTTCTTCGATCCTACTTGGCGAATCAGGCGCTAGTGCTATTGAACATGGCTTGGACCAGAACATCTTGTTAAGGTTCACCTACAGATGCATGTTTCTTTAGCGAATCAAACAGTGAGAAATTCCACAAAAGCCAAGCAATTATTATAACTTTCAAACCAAATAACAATCCCATTTGGCAAGTCAGTCATTGGCAACAATTAACATAGCAAGGTAACCTATGGAAATTGGCAGAAAATTCACAACAGTCTTGACATCCTCTCAAACTCTCATGCTTCGGAATCCTATTTGGTAAAAAATCATATTTTGGAGTTGGACTTGGAGATAAATTAATATTTATATTAATTGTATTTTAATATCGTTTCCTATTATAACCATTGAATTAATAATAGATTTTAAAAGTTGATAACTTTTGTATATTTTATTGGTTTTATATATAATATATCAAATTAATCATCTTTTGATGAACTTCGATTTGACATCCATATTGTATATATAAAATAAATAAATTATATTTATCTTTATAATAATAAAAAATATATTTATTAAATTAATTAGAAAATAAAATTATTATCAATTAATATGTTTGTGTTTAATGTAGTTATATGTTACAAAGTAGAAAATTTATTATAATATAACACATATAAATCGCACAAGTAACATGTGTCATACTAAAATATATAATAATATATACTCCCTCCTATTTTTATTATTTGTCACTTTGGCTTAATTGATCATTGATAAAATAAATGTCGTTTTAGATATTTTGTTCATATTTTTCCATTTTTAACCCTCCATCTAATACACAGTGTCTTTTCCTCAGCGGCACCTGCAACTCGAAGAATTTCTTTTCATATCTCATCTCCATCGTTTCCCATAACATCCATTAAATAGGGTTAATATTGTCAAGAAAAAAAATCTTAAATAGTGTGTTGCATTTGAATTGATATTATGAAGTCCGTTTGTATTTCACCATTTATTTATATATATATAATACAAAATAGTAATATATATCCTTATAAATAAAATTTAAATTTATTTATCAAACTAAATTTTATTATATTAAATAAAACTATAAAATTATATTATAAAGTAATAGAAATTGGTATGTATTCTTTTAAAAATGATATTTATTTCAAATCTAATTGGTATGTTGTCAATGTAATAAAAATAATTATTTATATAAATTCTAAAATTATTTCAAATCTAATTGGTATGTTGTTTAATAATAAATAAATATATTCTACACTTATGCATATACATATCATCATATTATTTCTATTTATTTAAAATATATATTTATGAACTTATGTAATAGTAAATAATATCGATATTTTTATATGATAGAAGTACAAAAATTCAACACGGGTCGATGTTTTCATTTAATTAAGTAAAAAAGATAATCTATTTTGGTTAAAATTAAATAAACATATTCTACACTTATGCATATACATATCACCATATTATTTCTATTTATTTAAGATATATATTTTTGTACTTATGTAATATATAATTAGTAGTTCTAATAACTGAAGCTCACATGTTAAACTCCCTAATGCACAATAGTCCCCAACAACCGAAAGTTTTTGGTTCAAAATTAAGCCCTCAGCTACTAACAAACCTATATACAGAAAGAAGTACAAGGATGCATAGTCTTTTCCACTTACATCTGCAAAGATTTTGAGTCACTTTCCTATATATATCATGATAACTCCAGTTACCCTGTATCTGATTGAGGCACAAGATAAATTTACAATATCCCACAACCCAAAATCTCGGGTACCCTCCACAAAACCCCCCAACAAATACACAAAACAAAAACACATAGACAGTTCAAATGTGGTCCAACGTCCAAACATAACAACAATGGAATTCCTCGTATCCAAGATGTACTGGGAAAAGAGAACAAATACAACATCGCATACAAAATTATGAAATAAACTCTTCAAATCATTATAAGAACATATCGAAGGTTTCAATCTCAGGTTTAGTGGTATCAGACTTAACACTTGGCTCCACATTAGCAGCCGCAACCTTTGCATAGTTACGAAACGAACAAGCATACAAATCCCTCGTCACAAAATCAGCATTTTTCTTAATATTACTAAGCCTGCTTAACCGGATCAAAGCTCTGCCCCACCTAGGCATCATTCTCACTCGAGTTTCTGCTAGCGAAGAAACGATAAAAAAAAAATAAAAATAATTAAACTTGATAATTTAGTAAANACTTGATAATTTAGTAAATGTTTTGAGGGAAATTAAATAATAAAAATGAGATGTGTTGAGACCCTAAGCCCATGTTTGTTTGTAGGGATGGGATTGGACAAAAATAATCCAAAGTTGTGGGATTGTACTGTTTGGATTATTTTTATCATGTGTTTGTTATATCGGATTGGTGTAGGATAAGTTATTGTTAAAAAAAAGGAAAAAATGAATTCATTCAACACAAACCCACAAACACACATCAATGTTAGAAAGTACAATTTTGCCCCTAACAAGTAACAACTCAGATTATTACCCTCTCGAATTTATGTTCTTATCAGACTCAATTTCACGCACCCAAACCCTAGCCCCTTCTGGTCATCTTCCTCGATTTGCAAGCGGTTTGGAGATGCCGGTGAGGGCCACGGTGACGACGGTCTTTTCTTCCACAACCCGGAGCAACGTCAACAATTGGATCTCGTTTTGGGTTCTCCATCGGAGGCGACGAGGGTCTTGGTAGCGGATTGTTTCCATCGTTTTGGTAGCAGATTGTTCTCCATCGTTTTGGGTTCTTTTCATGTGAGTGGTTATATAACACATGACAAGCAAATAAGATTTTCAACCATTTGAAAATGAGGTTCAAATAGAAAGACCCAAAATATAGCCTCGTGTAACAAATGAAATACCAAATATATCGCACAATGTTAAGAGCACACATATAGGTCATCAACTATAAAAAAACAAGATGATTCAATATCCAAAACAATCTAACCAGCTAAAACAAGAGTTGGTGTTGTTACCTAAAACCAATCTGTAAGAGCACACATGGATAATGTTGGTGTTGTTACCTAAAACCAATCAACTTGTACAGCTCTTGATCTTCAATAGTGCTCAAATATTGAAATTAAAACCAATGTGTGAGTAAATGTTTGTAAAGTGCATATGTAATAGGTTCCGAATTCAAAACATAATTGAAAACCACATTCAGCCCGGGTCGTTCACAAGATTATAAATTCTCAACCACACAACATTATCCATGTCAGGTTTTAAACTTCTACACAAATAAGACACAAAAATTTACTTCTAATTATCAAGAAGTTAAAACCAAGGTGTGTCATCATCATTGAATCTCACACATATAGACTCATCTTTAACTTTGGGCAACATAAAGATTATAACAGACACATGAATCAATAATGAAACAAGTATGTGTGTAGAGAATATATAAATCCTGAAAATAAAAAAAGTAATAAAACAAGGGTTAAATATGGAATAATTGATTGGCTTTACATCAGTTAATTATAATCAAGAGAGGAAGAAAAAAAAATGGAGTCCAGATACATATATATAATAATTGTATGAATTATGGCAAAATGATCTATAGTAACAGTTAATCGCCACTACAAATTTGGTCTGCTGCAACAAAAATTTTCCAAATTATTAGAACCACATCAGTGTGAATGAACAGTTCAAGAAAAAAAAATTGAACTTAATCCACATCAAGAAACAAATAGCAGAACTCGGTGGCCACAAAACCCCCCATCAGTGTCCATCACAGAGACACAGTATTGAACTCGAGACTTCGAAAGACACAAGATTGTGTGAGAATAGAATAGTTTTTTACCACTATACTGTAGTTCGATCAAAGCAATTAAACACAATAGAAGGGAAAAAGTACCCGTTCGCACGGTCGAAGATGTGTACGAGTTCCGCAGATGCGCCGGCGATCTCACCTATGGACCGATCGATCCTTGCCGAGGAGATGAAGGTGGCGGGCGATTTCTGTTCTTGCGCTAGAGTTCATGTGTTCTTCGCTGATAAGTGATCGGACCAGAAATGTGGAAATTCGATTATATATAAAGGTAGGGCTGTAATTTGTTTATTATGGAGGGTGAAAGCAGTCCAAAAAAATTATAAATGAGGGTAAATTGGACCGAACGAAAATAACTGTACCGAACCGAGGAACCTTTCAAGAACCGATTCCAATTCATAAAATCTACTGTATCCACATATTTATAATATTTATCATATGTATTACTTTCATTTTTGTACATAATTGTATTTAAAATTGAATTGCAAATAAAATCTATATACATTATGTCTATGTCCATAAAACTATCATAAGTTATATTTCAAGTCGAGTTGCAAAAAAACATCCAATATTGAATGTTAGCAGCATTTAATAACTGAAGAAATAATTATTTTATTTTAGTACTACTTATGAGATACTGTTAAATCTAAGATTCATTTTCGAATCAATTTTTTGAAAAAAAAAAAAAAAAATATTAAATTATTATACTCTTCCTATTACAAAATTTGATAGCCAACATGTCAATAAAATTCAAATATCGAATTTTGGAAACCGACCTTTGCGAAATAAGTATTTCACAAAACTTGGAGAGAATTATTTATTTAAAGGCGATATATTCTAAAATAAAAATAAATTGATAGATATCTTTGCCATAATATTAGATTAAGAACGAATATACCGGTTATTAATAAAATTAACTATAACTTAATAATATTAAGTATCTTCACTTTTCCAAAATAAACTTTATATGTACTTTATCTGAATCTCACGATATCGGAAGAGATTAATTTATTTGGACATAATATATTTCCAAAATATCTTTTTATTTAAACGTTTATGGGTACGTCTTATCACTTGTGAATTTTTTGGCATATAAACGTTTAGCATATAAATCTTTCAAATTAAATTATGATATTTTGCAACTAAAAGATAATTATCACTTTTTTTATAAAATTAAAAAAATTTTAACCACCTATTCTTACTATTAATTGACGAAATATCTTTTGAAATTAAGAGAGGTTTATGATTTTATTCCATCCATGATATGTACCATCTAACATGCAATTAGAAGATTTTTTTTTAAAAAAAATTATATAAAAAAAATCTCCGATCTGTACCAAACTGAAAGATAATTATCACTTTTTTTATAAAATTAAAAAAATTTTAACCACCTATTCTTACTATTAATTGACGAAATATCTTTTGAAATTAAGAGAGGTTTATGATTTTATTCCATCCATGATATGTACCATCTAACATGCAATTAGAAGATTTTTTTTTAAAAAAAAATTATATAAAAAAAATCTCCGATCTGTACCAAACTGGCCCATTAGAACCGAATCTCCGAACCGAATCGTTCGGTTCGGAACGGAAATTTATTGGAACCGATTCGATTCTGGAGATCCAGTTTTTGGAATCTCCGAAGGTCGATTCGGTTCAGAGATTTCTGAATCTCCGAACCGAATCGACCCGTGTTCAGCCTAGAAAGAACTATACATGGAGATGTATTGGAAAAACATCAAAAAAATGTTTTCAAGAGAGACAATGACAGAGGAACAACTCAAAATTAGAAAGACGAAAATTCAATTTTGATAATATAAATACCCTATAAAAGAGTATGTTGTTCGAGAAACCACAATAAATTCACTAACTTTAGGAAGAGAAGAAANNNAAAAAAGGGTCAAAACCTCCAGGGACGAGAAGGTATCCCAAACGCAGCCCAACTCCTTTCGGCCTTTTTCTACTCATAAAATCAGGGCCAAACCGCAACACTCGAGTTATTATTATACTGTGCACACCTATCTGTACAAATAACCAATGGACATTGAAAGCTGCAATCGCCTGTACATTCTGCACTACATACATCAACATAATTGTCCTACCTGTCATTAGCTATCTGCAAAACAATGTCTTAAATAACAGTCACCAGTCTTGTCTTAAAAGGGCAAGCCTACAATTTCCTTCCATCTTTGGACTCCAACTCAGACACATTGTTCAAAACCTTTTGAATTTTGTTGGATAACGACTGATTGTGCTCCTCGATGTGGCCCACAACCATATGCAGCTGTCTCTTGTATATAGCAGCTTGTCTTTCGAAAGTATCGGCTCTGTTTTTTGCAATTGCCAGCTGTAACGATAGCTCCCGGATTTTTTCATGTTCGTTCTGCAAACACAAAAGACAACCATGCAAGACAGGAATTTCAATGAAAGACTAGGAAACAGTTGTACAATATAATAGATTTACGTCAAAGAAAGTTATATTACTAGTGAAACGAAACAGATGAATTTTGAAAAAGCAAAACCACATAACATGTCATAAGAAAAGATTGTTATACAATTCTAGTTTAACTACACATATACATGTATACAGAGAGAGAAAGAGAGAGAGAGATTCTCTCAGTTCCAGCACAAAGTGTAATCCATACTTAATGATCAAGTAAAATATGAGCATAAACAGTGTCGGGAAAGGAGCCATTGTCGTATCACACAAGTTTTTGCCACTGCGTGAATGAGCTCGTTCATTAATCACTAATATCTACGAGAACTGGACAAAGTAACCACATTGACTGGTGGTTTACCCAAAATGGTTATATATAATTGATAATATTGTAACAGCAAAAAATATGGCGATAAATATGCATCTTTCCAGGCACTAGGGATAAGAAAAGACGCCATCACTTGTCCATGGAAGTCAAAAGACATCTAGTTATTTTAACCCATCAAAGATTCTAAAAGCCAATATAAAAGCAGGGTGGGGACATATTGGAAAGAACCAAGTGTCGATCAATGAAAATCTAGTGGTACATTTTGGTCCTGGAGAAGCTCCTTGATAAGAGTACAAATCTATAGAACAAGAGATGAGACGGGAAAATTGTGACCACCATTTGTAGAAAATGAGTAGGCTGCTGGCACGGTGGACACCTTTAATTCGTGTCAAGTTTATATGAAGCAGACTGTGTGAGTAGGTGGGCAAGTTTGGTGACGGCGTTTTCGAGGCTAGTGAGGCGGTGTTCAATTGCCTCCTGACCCTTCTCCAAAGCTTTAACTCTAAATCCATACGTGTCATATCCAACGGCAGGTCGGACCAAATTGTTAGGAGTAAAGGATGGAAGTAAAAGAAACTGAATATTATTATGTTGAAAATAAGAAAAGAAAAAGAAAAAGAACACTAGGTTCTCAAAGAACACGAGGTTCTCCTCGAGAAATAATCCCACCCAAGCTATAAAGCCGCAAAACAATCTTATTTCTCATATGCCCTACCACAATTGCCTCTGACCCTTCTCTATAGCTTCAACCCTAGAATCCATACGTGTCATATCAAGCGGCAGGTCGGACCAAATATAAAGAGTAAAGGGTCAAAGTAAAAAACTAAAATTTATTGTGTTGAAGAACAAAGAAAAGAACACTAGGTTCTCCTAGGGAAATAATCACGGCCAACCTATAAAACCACAAAACAACCTTATTTCTCTTATGCCCTACACAAAAACTAAGGACTCTCTTAAATAGAATACCTTGTGGCCTATGGGCTAAACCCCACTAACTTATTCTAAATAATATAATTAAATGATTTGTAACATTCTGTGATGGCATTGCTTTTGTAATCAAACCACAGAGAACAAAAACCTTATTAATGTCGGAATGAGCACAAGAGGTTATCTGCAGTCTGTATCAATGAACCAAACTAAAGCATAAGATACGGCAGGTCTGGGAGGATAGAGTTGTGAATGGAAATCATTATAGTTTGAAAATGTTGTCAGACAGAAAAGTGATGAGATCTTTCTTTAAAAAGAAGAATAAAAGTTTTAGATGGATACAACATCAAATGGAGCTGAAAGAGTCATTGTTGACAATTCTCCTGGCATAGTGCTAATAATGGACTAGATGGCTCAATTAAATTCTAGTGCTTCTTCTATTAGTGAAGTTTCTAGAAAAAAAAAATATATATCAAACGGCGCTACGGAACTAATAGAAGATCTTCGGGAGATTTTCGTGTCCGTTTAGCCCTTTTTCGTGTCCCCCGGCGCTACGAAAATCTCCCGAATCACAAAACTATGGTTGGGTCGCTACGGAAACAACCTCCTTGCCTCCTTGTATAATTACAAGGGTAAGGTCTGCGTACAACTGACCCCCCAGACCCCAACCTGTTGGGAATATACTGGGTATGTTGTTGTTGTTGTTGTTGTTGTATGGATACAACATCAAAGAGATGATAGAAAAAGTTGACTTGACATAAAAATAGCAAATACTGATTGTTAACTATATTATAAGCCCAACCCATATTTACTAAAGGCTTTAAGTCTATATATATGGCATCTTCATATGTGAATTATTCATTCATCACAAAACCCTAAGGTTCGTAACATGGTTTCACAACCATATAATTACATATTTTGTATTTTTGTCTCACCTCCCACAATAGTCAACTCGCTGCCTCGGGATCGACTTTCCTGCCAAGATTCACCTCTAGAAGCCGCGCGTGTAAGCCAAACGTGCATCTAGAATTTTCTGTCGGCCATCCCACACTCCGGTCCGTGAGGGCGCATGGCTCGCCGGAATTTTTTTCGGGGCACTTCCGTGTGTAGATTCTGTCCCCATAGTTTTGTGATTCGGGAGATTTTCGTGTCCGTTTAGCCCTTTTTCAGATCTGTAGTTAGGGTTGTGTACTCTAATCCGTCCCGACCATCGCCAATTTCCATTTTTTTTTTCGTCATCAGTCATGTGCTCCTACGTTGCCCGTCGAGATGATGCAGAACATATTTCTTGTGTCAAGAAGCAACTTGGTCAGCAATTTCCGATGTCTGATTTGGGTCCTCGTAGTTACTTTTTGGGCATGGAGGTGATGCATTCTGCCTCGGGCTATTACAGTCCAAATACATACAAGACTTCTTATTTGTTCAGGTATTACTGATATTCGGACAACGGCTACACTTATGGATCTTCACTTCCAGTGATGGCCTCTTGAGAATCCCTCTCGGTATCGACATATTGTAGGTAGTCTCGTTTATCTTACTGTTATTGAGTCAGTTTGTGAGTGTTCCTACTTCGGTTCATTTTGGCATTTGCTTCGTAGCAGTACTTAAGGGGAACATCATCTCAGTGTTTATAATATGCTCGTGATAGTCCGCTACAGCTCCATGCTTACTCGGACTCTAATTGGGCGAGTAATCCAATATATCGACGTTTTGTCACTGGTTATTGCATTTTTTCTTGATTCTTCTCCTCTTACATGGAAGTCCAGTTGTATCTCGGTCTAGCACATAGGCAGAATTTCGAGTACTTGCTACTACCACCTCAAAAGTTACATGGCTTCGATGGTTGTTAGACGATTTTGGTATTCCATGTGATGCTCCTACACCTCTTCTAAAGCCATCTAAATTGGCAAAGCATGAACATACAAAACACAATGGTGTTGATGTTTCCTTTACCCGGTCTCATTGTCATCAGAAAACAATTGTTCCAGAACTTGAACTTCAAGTGGCTGATTTTTCACCAAAGCACAAACTATAGAGCAGTATCGGCTTCATTTGCTCAAACACAATGCTTCGGATCCTCCACCTCCACTTTGGAGTTTGAAGGGGGATGTTAACTATATTCTAGGTCTAACCCATATATACTAAAGGCCCATAGGGATCTTCATATGTGAATTATTCATTCATCCAAAAACCTTAAGGTTCATATCACTTACTTCTAAGTAAATAGATTTATGTTAGGAACAAGCAAATAGTAAACTTTATGGGAAAACGAGGAATTATTGTGACTGAATAATTGCAATATTCTTTAAAAAAAAATGGTGATTTGTGGAAAAAGGGAGTAAAAGTGAGTTAATTGGGTAATTTTAAAATTTGTGTAACCAGGTCATTTCTTGTGGACTCTGGCTGTATGAAATATAGCGTTTGGATCATGTGAGGGAACAAAGAGGAAATTAGCAATGAAAATTCCTGAAGCTTCCTAAAAATATTCCAGCCTATTTTCCCAAAAATATTCCAGCCTATTCATAACCATTTCCAGCATACTTTACATTCAACAATACATGAGATATTCCTCAGGATCCCATGCATCTGTCCTATGCATCTGTTCTTTTCCATCTCATTGATCTTTCCACTAATGTTTCATATTTAAGTTAGTTATTCACCACATATAATCTATACAAAATTAAGGAACTATGTTATAAACGGTAACATCATAAAAACAATTAAACGGACTTGATCACACTTAACATATATCACGTTTCAGATATTTATAACTACCGATCATCAAGTCATCCTCTCCATCCTTAACATGATTTTTCCTCTCTAATTTTTCTTCATCTACAGTTTATTCGTGTTACTATTTCACCTTCAAAGATTTTATGTACATCAACCCAACCAGAATAAATAAATAAAAGATATACTCGACACACATCAAAGTGCAAGCACCAGGAAAAATGTCAGTCCAATTTACTGCAATTATTATTCGATTAACCATATATAACTGTGAGGATAGCTTCTAAACTTGGCTTTTTCACTATCTTAAACATTCCCCCACCGAATCCCCAGATCATATATTCATTTAGCATTACTAACCTAACTTTGTGTATACACATATATTCATTGCAAATGTCTCATAGATTAGGAACGTGCAACTTCACCTCTCAATAACTCAGTAACCAGATACTCGAAAGTGGTTACAAAAGGAAACAGTTTCAATAATACCAATAATATTTTGGCATCTAGAAATCTCATGTTTACCCTCCATCCATAATATGCATTACAAGATATGATGGTATTTTACTTGCGTTACACATCCCAGATATTTCTTGTCACCCATATCCAAATTCAACAGTTTCTTATCCATACTCCAAATGCAACAGTTTCCTATTCATGTAACTATCACACCTGATTGATCTACACAATTGTCCCAGAAAGATAATTTAGCACCAGTAACTTTACATGGCACCTTCGGATTTAGTCTTCTCTCTTTCCACTACACAAGCAGCAAGTTGCTACAACTAACAAGGATTATAAATCCTCCTTATATTGAAGATATGAAGTGGGTTTCCTACTTTCCGGTTGACGAAGAGAATACTACAAATATCTTTCCTCTTTCACCATATAAGCACTATCGGCAGGAAAACCTTTTTTTTCTCCCTTTTCCCTTTGACAGATCAAAGATGATATGAGCATATTGAAGAGCAGATCAGATACGTTTGAGGCCTTATCTGGAAAGTGAGGAAAAATGGAGTTTCAAAAGTGTAGACAAAAACTACTTGCATGAGGTGGTCCTCCACAAACTTATATTTAAATAGGAGCTTGAGCAAACATAACTTCTCTTGTTACTGAAATTCCAATAGATGCTTGTTTCTAAACAAATAAGCGCCTTTCTCATATTTTCCCAGACTCAACGTAATACTTTTAAATATCTTTAGGTAATGGGGTCACCTCATTTAAGCAGAACGAGCAGGCATGTTATCTCATTGTCTCAGGGTACCAATTGTTACTTTCTTTATTACGTTTTAGCATATCTTAGTGTTGTTAGGAAAAAATCCAGTTTCACTTACGGTGAAGGTTTCTTCACAATGAAAAGCTCTGGTGTTTCTATCATGTGGACACACATTCAAAGAAAATCCAGCACAATAATGCAAAAATACAGTCTAGCTTGCAGAGATTTTAAAGAAATCCATACGCAGAGAGAAAGAAAACAGAGGCTCAGTGTGCAAGTTATTTCATGTTCAATTTCTTAGGAAAACGAATTACCACTGTAAGCACAATATGCCCCTTGAGACCGTTGCTACGCTCATCTAAAGCAACGAATCAGATGCAATTTGCTTCCATTTATTTGGAAACACAAAATATATAGTGGTACGATGTTTTAAACAATATTACATGAGCTATGCCTATACCAAATGATCCTCCGTCACTGAAGAAAACAATCATATATGAAGGATCATCATATAAGTTGAAGAAAGCTGAAAACACGAATTGCATACCACCAACATTGTTTAGACGACAAAAACGCTTTATTTGTATCAGAAAAATTTGAGGATAAGCAAGACTTACCATAGACTCGAGAACATTTCCATTTCCATAAACATTTGCAGCCAAAATAGCTTGGCCAGACTTCACCACGGGCTTCGCGTATGGTGGGGCCATTTCATGATTATGCTCCTTCACAAATTTCGATACTTTCCACTGACTGCTATCATCGCATGCGAAAGATATCATTGCTCGGCATCCAGTCCTCGTCTCTGGCTTCTTGTAACTGACGCCATTGGTATCTGATTTTTCGTCCTTAGCCCCTTCCTTTGAGCAGCAGTAAGTCTTTGATCTCACCCTTTTGGTTCCCATGAAATAATATTGTTTTCCCCTCCGGACGTTAAAACCCATGGCCTGTGCATAATCACAGTACAGCATGTATGCTTCTTCTTCACTGTACACGATCTGCTCCAACAATTTCTTCTCTAGCTCAAGAATGTGAGCTTCATCTGGTCCCTCGTTAACATCAACAACCTCTCCACCTGAACGAACGAGTGCAACTTCTTCTTCATCACTATCTCCACACACGGCTTCATTGTTTTCCAGGTCAAATCCAGAACCTTCCATCTCTACTGAGTTAAGCAGACAATATTTGTAAATATGTTCTCATGAAATTTTGATAGTTAATACAGAATAAACGCTTCTTAACTAAATTAACTGTAATCCAACTGAATAAAAGCTTGGTAAAAGGAATTAGAACTGCTAAATAGCTAAACATGGAGCAAATAAAGAACGGCAAATTCCAAGTGAATAAGGCGGGCATAGATATAAGAAAATTTTGGCAAAAGTTTTGCCATTTTTCACCATTTTTCTCGTTTTGGTATCACATCTGAAAAATTTCAGGTAAAACACTATTCACCCATCCTAAATTTTCCAATCATCAATCACATCCACTAGTAGTTTACCCAAAAAACAAATATTCGCATCAAATAACACCACAGATAACCTAGAGAACATACATAGTTGGCTCTATCCAATTTCAAGTCACCAATCACAACCAACTATTATTCCACTAAAAAAACCATTACAGTCACATCTACGACGCAATCAACCAAGATTCATTGTTATTCTCCATATAATTCCCGTATCATTATTCTTAGGAGTATAAATGAAACGCAATGCAGCAGTTACTCCCTAAAAATATTTTACTCCATTCGTTTCTTGCATGAACTATGTTTCCCATAAATTAAATCGGCTTGAAAAAGTGCCTTGGCAGCATAATTGGTAAATTTAGCGCAGAATCAGATTTTTTTTTTTTTTTCCTGATGGTACTTATTAAGCATATTGTTTGATAAAATTATATAGGGCACTTCGCTTATAGAAATCTGAACAAGCCATTCTCTCTCACGAGTTATCTCTTTTCAATGAAAAGAAAACTGTAAAGGAGAGGACAACCTGCAATTGGAGGAATAACTTGATTTTCGGCAGCAGTGGGGGTGGCGGAGGACGACGTAGCTACAGCTGCAGTATCGGAATTCAGTACCAAATTGGGGTGCATCGTCTGTAATTGGTAGGCTTTATAGACCGGCTCCACCTTATAACCTCTCGACTAGGAATTTCTCGTTTTTTGCTTCCTTTCGCCCTTCAACCATACAAGATTCTCTCTGCCGGCCCTCATGGACTATTTGTTTCCTTTTAAGTTGTAGTATATCTGCATACGGACTGTACACGAAAAATGATATTAAAATTAGAAACATGATACATAGCCAATCTAGTTGTACAATTAGGTTGACAATACAAGTGAAAACATTCACTTGTGTATTTTTTTATTATTTTATAGATGTTTTTTACTTGTGTTGTCAACCTAGTTGTACGTAGCATTTCTCTTAAAATTATATTAATTAAATATATG